TTCCCGACAAAAAAGCTCTGCAGGCACGTTTCATGATTTTCTGCATGTCTAATATGAATCCAGTTTCACGTAATACATGGAAAAAACTACTTTTCCGTAGAATATCCTCCATAAAAATCATACTTCTCTTAACCAGATAACTCTCGATTAAACAAGCAATAATTTTAAAACTGAAAAACGAAAAGTTTGGAAATAAATAACAGTATCATCAGTAATATAAATCTAATACGTAAACTGATTTTCAGATTCAAACTAATACCTGAAAAAGCTCAAAAACTAAAATTTGTTGCATAAAAACCTGCAAATTCATCAGCGCCTTCATGGTATAACAATAGCACACTCGTTGCGTTATTTGAGAGTTCCAACTTCGGGTCCCAAAGAGGGCATTGCACATGTTTCACACTTCCTCCTTCAGAATAAGCTAATAACTCTATAATGGCTCCCGAATTAGAAAGGCAGAGAACAATATTCCGTAACCACCAGGATTTGGCGACTGGGTGTCTTAATCTCCAGTCGGCCTTTAAAAGGCGGAGTATGTAAAGTGATGTGATGTGATCAGCGCAGCCTGACCCACCCGGCAAACATTACGACACTCTGTGTACTTTTTACGGGCTGATTCACGGCAAGCCAGAAACAACAACAGCCCCAACAAAACAAAAAATTAGAAAAAAAAAAAAAAAAGAGAAATCCTAAAATACAATCAGAAGGTACTTGTCAGAAGGTACTTATATATAGACCTCTGGTTTCCTATATTTTACGCACTGACAGAGGAAATCAGGGTTGGAACAAAGCAAAGCGTTAGAAGCTAAACTAGAATGAAGAAAAACACTCGAAATACTAACACAAGCACATACCCACATACAAACTAACACATTATGCTTTTATATCTTTATTTTGACCTATTCCCTCCATAATTTTCTCTGAATTATTTCACTGCTGCACTATTGCAATTCAGGGCTTTAAAACCTTTGTCTGCTCCTTCTGTATCTCTAGATATCGCACACTCTTCAACAAAATGACGAACATCTCCAATCACATTGCATAACACACATTTATGGTTATCTTGAAGCCCAAATCTATTAAAATAATAGGGAAATCTTCAACTGCTGCTGATAATTTGATTGACATCTATGCTTGAGATAGGTTTTGTTTTTCTTTTAATTTTAAAATTATGCATCAAGTCTTTTCATTTTATAGACTCTTGCCGTAACATATCCCAATTCTTGTACATATTATTTAGCATATTTTGAAGGACCTTTCTTATCGCATACGGTGTTTCCGCTTTTGAAGTATTAGGATTTTATTAGAAAAACGGAGAACAACTTTTTCTTATTAGAAAGTCGCTTCTTTAGCAAGGACGTCATACCTCTCACGACCTAAGTACACAACATGCGCTCTAATCCAGTTAAGTCTAATTTTATGCTTCTTAAAAAGGCTTGTGTATAGTTCTTTGATTATTGGTATCAAAATATTTGGCTGGTCAGGGTTGAACTTTTAAAACCCGTATTTTTACCCTCCTTTAAGAAAGTTTCGTGGTGTAACGGTAACACATTTGGCGCATATTCGAGAGGTCCAGATTCGAGTCCCGGCGAGGTCATTGCGCATTTTTCTCATCTCCTATTTCAAAATAACATAATGACTCTACAATTTAACAAGTATAACATGAAAGTCTTTAATTTTAAAGGAAACTTTAAGTAATATACTGATAATTCATTCTTCTCGTCGATCGCCTTTTTCTATTCAAATACTATATCAAAGTAAAACTGGGAACATCTTAGGATAGTGTCTTGGCAAATTCACAGATCTCTCCTGCGTGAGACGTGACAGTTTGGAGTTTAGTTCCTGCTAAATTTTCTGTTTATTTAACCGTCAGATCGACCATTTTGAAATATAATGTTATTGAAATTTTTATTCTAGTAGTAGAACTTCTAGTTAGATTTCAGACGGAACGAAAAGTATTCTACTGTTATTAACAAATTTTAAATATCTGATTGCACTTCATGCGCGTTGTAATATTCTATTGTTACTACCATTAAATTTCAATTTAGGTAAATACAGGTAAAATAACTAAAATCTTGGAGCTTAACGCGAGCATGTGAAGATATTTTATTAAATGTATAAGTGGTTAAATCTTTATAAAAATTGTTAGGATTTATGAATACTTATGAATTTCTTAAGAAGAATATGCTGTTAGAATAGGATTCGATTTTTTGACAAATCTTAAAAAAAAAATAAATGCAAATAAAAACCATAAAATCATTCATAAAATTAGGCGTAAGTTCGTGGAATCAAAATAAATCTTCCATTGTGCGTTGTCAGTTTCTTGATTAATCGCTCTTTGAATTACCTAATGATACTTTAAAAGTCTATCAATATAGCGAACTTATAAATACTAAATAACGTAGGACACTTTAATTTTTAAACGAATTTTTTGTCGAGAATTTCAGATTCTGACAAGTTGAGCACATTGTTTGACAGAAAGTTTTTGCATTATTTTTATAAATGAAATCCAAAGGAGGTTTTTTTTTTTTCAAATTTTATCTCTTAAAAGAAAGCAGTTTTTTGGATTTTTATCTTTTTTATTATTAAGGTAAGAAAAAAGGAAAAAAATCCTGCATTAAATTGAAAACATGAAAGAAGTTTTAACTACTTCGCAAGAAATTTTATTTTGTATACACTTTATTAGAATAAAAAGACTTTTTATTCAATATTCTCTTTATCGAAGAAAAAGTAATATCCTAGAACGTAATATTCTTATTTAATCTTGAATCTTAGAATTTTCAAAAAAATGATTTTAGATAAAAAAAAAATATTTCAAAACTTAATGCCTTGAAAACAAGCTTAATCCCCGAAAATAACAGGTGGAGATTACCTATCAAACTAATATATCAAAAGATAATTCACTAATTTAATTAAGAATTGAGAATGGTTCTCTGTTTATGTTTTTAAATAAATTTATTAAGGGTCTTTTTTTAAGGTAAGAATTTAGAAACAGCACAACGTTAAAGAATTCTGCTTCACAGTATCAAGTATCAAATAAATGCATATTAATATATTCTGAACAAATGTACTCGTATTTAAAAAAAAGATTTAAATTGTTATTCAAACATACTGTAGAGAAATATTATAAATACACAGTATCGGGGATGAAACTGGAGTTCTAGAACATGAATATATATTAAGATCAAATGTTAATATCTAATAAATTTTAAGATTATTTCTTAATGTGTGAATCTCGAAAAAGGAAGGAAAAATATTTTTAAAATATAAACTATTACTCTTATAAAAGTACAATGATTTTTAAATAGTTTTAAATTCAAGATACGAGTATGTTGCCATAATAATACGTATTTTTACATATTCTATTTAAAATTATTATTACGATCATAAGTGGCATACAATGGACTTAAAAAGAGGCGATTAGACATGAAAAAAGCTAGCTCTAAATCTCTCTAAGAGGAACGCACACCAACAGAGGTGATGGCTATCTTAGAGAGATGAAATTCAGCACAGAATATCAGAATCTTTTACTGTGTTCACACTTGTCTATTTCAGAATTGGTAATCCTAAGGGAATGATTGTCATGGAAAGGCTTACTGAAGGTCGAATATGAAGACTAATGGCATAATTTGAAAATTATTATTATGAAAAAGAATTAATGAGTAGGATACAAGTTAAAATGTTCTAAGAGGGTAGGTCCAAACAATTTTTCCATAATAAATATGTAGAGTACCATTTTTAAGTTCCTAAAGTGAAACTGGTTGTTTAAAAGGAGTTGGAACCCCAAAATCTTCAAAAAATAATGATTTCGGATTTTTGCATTTTCAAATTTTCTACACTTTTATCTTTCTAAAAATACCATTCTTTAATCTCTATGAAAATTAGAAATGTAAAAAAATCTAGTTTTAATTTGTAATCTACTGCTTTGATCAATGAGGATTTTTACATAAAAACACGCTTTCTTCAAACGTTATTTTTTTATACTACATGTACCTTTTCTCAGGAACTACTGCTCACAGGTATCTAAACTTTTTATGGCTTATTTATTAGGTTCCTTAATATTTACTGAAATGTGCTTTTTGTAATAACTAAATTTTACTATGCCTAACAAAATATCCTGTAATTTACTTTTTATGGCTTATTTATTAGGTTCCTTAATATTTACTGAAATGTGCTTTTTGTAATAACTAAATTTTACTATGCCTAACAAAATATCCTGTAATTTACTCTAAAATTAAATGTTTCAAAAGCTCATTTCAGTATAATCAGATAGGTATACTTTAATTACAGAAAAAATTTCAAGCTTGTATCTACAGCAGATTTTGAGAAAAGGTACATCGAAAATGGCCAATTTAACATTGTCGGTATGGGGGTTTCTGATACCCCTTAACGAGAGCTACAATGAATCGACAGCGAAGACGAGGACACCTGGCAATAAGGAGGTGGTCTTACGTCTGGGAGAAGACAATCCAAGTACGAGTACTAGAGCGATATCCCAACAAGTGAGTTTATCTCAGTCCATTGTCTGGAGGATACTCGCAGCAAACCAAATGAGCGCATACCATCCTCATCGCGTCCCCTTATTAGAGCCAGAGGATTTTCCACTCCAGAAGACGTTTGCTACATGGTTCCTGCAACAGAATGTTACAGACAGCCCATTTGCTGCCTCCGTATTTTTTACGAATGAAGCATACTTCACACGTCACGGAGCCTTCAATCATAACGCCCATATGTGGGCTTTGGAATACCCTCATTGTACGCAAACAAGTGCAGCTCAAGAGCGTTAAAGGGTCAATGTTTAGGTTGGCATTCTTAGAGTGTACCTCACTGGATCGTGCCTTCTGCCCAGTTCTTTACACGGTAGGTGATACCTGCTCTTCTTGTAACAAGTCCTGGTCGAACTTCTCGACGTAGCTCATGTTCCTCCGTCGTTGCGCCGTTTCATGAGGTACCTGCATGACGAGGCTCTTAAACATTAAACGATTCGCATCCTCCAATACCTCGATGTAATAACATTTGGACAGTGATGGCCTCGTGGTGGCCCGGTTCATTGCCCTTCCAGATCACCGGACTTCTTCTTGACATGAAGAGTTTGGTGTACGAAACGCCCATTTCTTCAGTTGAAGACCTCATCGCTCGAATCATGTAGCTGGCGAGAGTATACGCGACATATAGGAAATCTTCCAGAATGTAAGGAATTCCATTTAGTGCCACTGGCAAACCTGCCAGACGACTTCTGGACGCAATTTCAAACACGTGTCCCATTAATGTGTTGCGGTTTATTTTCTCTGCTTCATTGCAACATTGCTGGCAGCTATGGCATTTACGACCCTGCATTCCTATGTGATTCTGAATATTCTCTGTACCCATACGTACCCTGCAAGTTTCTCTGTCTGGGAGCGAATCAGCTTGTATATTGCTTTCCTTAAGACAGAAGATTACATTCGTATCAATAGATCCGAAATGATGTTTAATTATATATATATATAATATATATACATACATTATATATATATATGTAATGTATAATGTATCTATATCTATCTACTATCTATCCCTCCTCTCTCTCTCTCTCTCTCTGTAATATATATATATATATATATAGAGAGAGAGAGAGAGATAAATAGATAGATAGATAGAGAGAGAGATAAATAGATAGATAGATAGAGAGAGAGAGAGAAGAATCTATTGTATATATAGATGTATATTGCAACTATCTATAGCTGCATATATATACAGAGAGAGATATTACATCTATCTAGTAATATATATAGATGATATTTAAGATTCCCACTTATTTTCTGTACTTATTAAAATATATATAAAGTTATTCTTATAACATATCAAATATTTTCCTAAGAATTAAAAGATGCAAAAGAATATATCATTCGATATGATACAGAAAAAAAAAGAACAAAATACAATCATACATATTTAGGAAGTATCTTGGCAAGTCACATCGATGGCATTTCTTTAAAAATATAGATGCTACCATCTTTATTTACTCGACTAAGAAGGAGTCAAAATTCAGAAGGTATAAGATGTGGGCCTTTAGGGTTAGATCTTCCACCTAATATTCAAATTTCGGCAAAAAAGCACGAATCACAAACATTCACTCAAGAAATGGAATATATACTTTTCTTATTTAAATACGGAGACTTTTCAGATTTAGAAACTTTCAAGTGAAGCATAAATGTGTGAACGAAGAACATTTAGATGGAATTCCAAATTCTATGCAAAATATTCGCATTTCGATTCGAATTCGAAATATGTCATTTAACAACATATATTTTGCATTTTGCTCAAAAAGGATTTTTTATTATTTGTGAATTTAAACTAAGGATTGTGTTTCATAAGAATCGCACTGCCTTGTATAAAATCCCACAAAACAGATCACATAGAAAATTTATCTTTACACTAACATCCTGTATATATGTATAATGTTAAATATTCAGTACGACTTCGTCTAAACATTTGTATTCTCTGTCGGATGAGTTATCTCTCCGTCTTTATTTTTTAATGTCAGAATAAGGTTCAATTAAGTGGAACATTGTAGAACAAATAATGTAAACGAACTAGTATTTGACCTCAGCTTGAAGTTGCAATGCGAAAACTATTAGTAAAATTAACTTCCGCTACTTGTGGCTATGATTCAAAGTATTTATAAGACAAAGTTTCAGTTTTAAAGTCTCTGCTATTCCACAAACTGACTTTTATGTTCCACAATTAGTACTTAATTTTCAACCAGAGACGGAGTCATCAATTAGTAGCTACTGCGCTAGAGGCAGACAATAAGAGAGGTCTGAGGTTAACATTTCTTTCTCCAAATAGTAGATTCTAGATTTTATTTAAAACTTAACCTCATTTACATATTTTTTGTACTAGGCGATAGACAGATTGTATAGGACACATTCAACTAAACAAGTAATATGTTAATTAAAATAAACCTTATACATATCCACAGGTAAACAGGTAAAAGTGTTTGAAGCACCAGAAACTATACTACAGAATTGAACAGGTATTGCCCAATACACTAACCAGCTAGAATAGGGAAAATGTGAACTGACTATATGGCTATTTTTAAATAATACTAGATTTATACATCGGAGTTGTTACATTTAAACATAAGAGGATAATAACATAAAACTACATCCAAAGTTATATACATACAAAGTTACATAAATAACCAAACTGTTTAGTATACTCATTAAAATATTTGATTATATAAATTTAGTAAAATTGATATTTTGGAGATCGTTGCACTTGAAATTTTGCATTTTTATGTAACTAGGTAAACATAAGGGATTTGATTTTGCTAATATATTGGGAGTCTGATTCGTATTATGTGAGGATCTTTGCTACAGGTAAGACTGAGCTCAGATCAGTCAGTCCGGTTCCTGGTCTCAGATCAGTAGGTTCGGTGTTTCGGAGCATTATGGAAATTGGAAATGATACGCGGAGGCAATTATTGGTGCGTAACCTTGACATTTTTTTTTTTTTTTTCATTTTTATTTTTAGGTTCTAAGGTATGACTTGGCATAGGTGCAGTGCTTTTGGTGCACTTTCATGATTTTGGGATATAAGAGGCGTTTGAGATGTCAGCAGTCTTTTAAAGTTAAGTTCTATATCGGTGGTTTTAATGGTCTGCATCTCCTTTGACTCCACAGACAGAATTGTCGCTATTGGAGAAGTTCTGTTTGAGAAAATAATTTGGATATGAACCATGACCGATGAGGTAATAAGTTAGGAAGGACTTGGAGTTTCTGCTTTCTGTGACAATGTTTGGGAAGAACTGGTGAGCGTGCAGGCCCTGTTATAGCTTTATTCCACTCTTCTTGCTACTCGTGGCTTTAGGTGTTTGTTTAGGATTTTTCGTGGTTGCGATTTCGGAAGCCTGATGTTGAGGAACTCGCATTCTTCGGAAAAAGCTACTGTTTTTGACAGATTGTCGGCGGCGATATCATTACCAACTTTGCCGCCGTGCCCTTTGATCCAAGTTATGGTTATTTCAGAATTGAGATTTTTAGAGATTTGTCTAATTTCATGGGCCAGGTGAGAATTGTTGTCTGGATTTGTTTGGGATGGATTGTATGGCTGCTTAGCTGTCTTTGTGAATGGATACCTTTTAGAAATTGCTTACTGACGCAATGTTGACGGAGCTTTTATACATATCCACAGAGCAAAGTAAGATTTGCTTCAATAAAGCAAAATATTTAAAGATGTACTGTTTTCATTATCCTGCACTGTAAGCTATGTGGCCAAATACCCATATCTAATATTAAGAGATAATATCCACTCGACCCCTAAGCCTCGTATCCCAGTATTCTGTATATGTGACTTACCGTCACCGAGTGCAAAATATCACTTAAAATTAAAAGCTCGACCTGGCTCATGTGCCGGCAAGCGGGTTTTTGATGTTTGCCTCATGTTTAACATAAACATGAGCCAATTTTCCTTACAAAGCTCTCGATGACAACATCACAATGACAATGAAGGAGGCTAACCATCTACCATTGCCACTACGTTGCACTTCCTAGACTTTGTGAAGCGAATACCGCCCCTCTGGGTTGAGCGCGGGGGGGGGTATGCCTCCTTGGACGGCCTCTAGGGATTGAGCGTTTAACTGTGTATGACTTCTCTTATAAGTTAGGTTTGGAGGCTCCTTCCGGCTAGTGATCTGACATCAGTTTTCACAGATACTTAGCCTCATGCATTCCATCTGTATGATTCGTGTACCTCTAAACATATGCAGGAAGCACATCTATTTTCCAATCGATAAAACGCCTTTAATAACTTAATTTTTGTACATATTATCAATAAAGTTTTACATCCAAGAAGGCTGGAAATTTGTGTTTAACAATGAAGCAAGCAAATATTTACCCTCCTACCCAAACTTTAAAACAAGGTAACTGTTTCGAGAAGAAATAAAAATTTCCGTGATTATAACTAAGCAAACTTTAAACAAGATTATTATTTTAAAAAGTTCAAAAAGTATTTGATCTTTTCCTGCACAAGAGGAATCGAGTGATTCAACGATGCAAGAGCTGAACATAATTGATTAATGGCTTAACTGAATAAAAGTATTTTAACCTAAACAAAATTAATTCAGTGTTTCACTATTTAAGGAAAATTAATAGACTTAGCTGAAAATTATTAATTAAAAGTAATACAAGAAGTGTAAAAAAATTCTGACTGCCCTCATAAGAGTTAAAAGTACCTGAGGTAATATTTAATTAATTAAGCGGCTTGTGGAAGATAAAGGTAAATGAAAATAATACATTGTCTAAGGTCACTAATTTGTTAAAGATGCTTGCGGTTATTAATATTGAGAGAGAAAAAATTTAAAGAAATAGAAAGAGATCAGAAACATATCTGCATTTATTGATATATGATCAGTATTTCTTTTAAAAGCAAAAATAAATTAAACTTTCAAAATATTTATCATTAAATTGACATATTTTACCCGGTTTATCCTGTCTTGTTAAAAGCTATCCTGTTCCAAACAAAAATAGCTTTTAAAGGGCAAATAACAAACTTTGTATTAGTTAAATGTATTTAAGATAATAAGGATATCATCTATGCCACCCAACCGGGATAGTATTTAGTGAGGCTGTCTGCCCTACCGAAGGGCCCGGGTTCGAATCCCGGAGGAGGCTTGGATGTTTGTAAACGTATAGTGCTTGTGAAGCATAGGGGCACTGTAAATATGCGGCGAGACGAAATTATACTCGAGAGTTTGGTGGTAGAGGAAGAAGAAGGTGAGAGATCCTCGGATCCATCCTCCCGTGGTGCTGTCCGTCAAGTTTCGAGGCGGAATCGATTAAAGTCATACTGTGACCTATATGAAGCTCAAGATGCCCAAGACAAACACAGTATTGCACTCTTGTCAAGATGAATTTCGTGGGCTTGTTATGATTTTACAATCAGACAAATGAGATAAGTAGTAACAACAAAAACATAATATCATCTATAAGTTATTTATCAGATTATTACAGATAGAAAATTAAAATATAAATATTGCGCAGTATCACAGAAAATTTTAAACGTTACCTTCAAGTTCGTAAATTATAAGTCAAATGTTATATAACATTTGCCAGCAAATCTTTGTATCTCAAATATTGCATCAGGTGAAAGTTATTCGGAATTGAGGCATCACATTGTACGTTTTTGCGTAGTGTAAGTTGCATTGTTTCTTTTGAGTTATCTCACTTGTCTGGCAATAACTTCAGAACAAGCCCACCAATTTCATTGTGGCAAAGAGTGTAAGATTGATAGTGGCAATGGCAAGAGACTTGAGCATCATACAGGTGACAGTATGACTTCGTTCAGTTCTGCCCCAAATTTTGATGGAGCCGAAGGTCCGAAGGTAT